GCTTAAGCAGGATTTCTCCGGGAAGCCAGGAGGAAGAAGACCATTGATGAATCTGTCGTCGTTTTTGGAGCCTGTAAGAAAATTGAGAGAAAATTAGTGGAAGCTTTTTGAGCTCTGAAAATGGCAACTTTCTCGGGAAACAAACAGAAAGCTGAAGCAACAATGTCCAATAATGTTGAGTCTGAACTTTGAGTGCATAAGATTGGAAGAAAATGACAGAAAACGAGTGGGTTTTAACCTCTTGGAGTACTTTCTCGGGAAACAAACAGAAACCCAAGGCAGCAGAAAGTGGCAGAAAGTAAGTGGGTTTAAATGATTCACATTACTAGACTATTGGACTAACTTTCTCAAGGTTAAACAGAAACCCAAACCACCGGTTTAGACAATAGATGGAGTTATAGATTCAAGGCCACTTTCTCAGGAAACAAACAACGCAATTACGGTATAGGCTCAGCATCTGAAGTTTGGATTTTCAAACTTTTGAATTTAAAAAATCTATCCGTAGTGATCTTCACGAATTACTTTTGTCATCGTCAAAATCACTCGTTTTTTCGAGCTGATCTAGGAAAAGTTAAAGTTAGAAACAGATAACAGAGAAGGAAAGAAAAGAAGCAAAGATTTGAGTGAGTACCATGTTGAGAAACAGTTGTGGAGAGGTGATCAAAGTTCAGAGATGGCATCCATAATCTCTGCGATATCAGAACCACCATTGTTGGAACTGCAATCAACAAAACCAACTTCATCTTCTTCATCTTCTCCCCAACCTCCATGGCTGCTGCAAATTCCTCAACTCAAAAACCCCAACTTCTTCAACTTCTTCACATCTTTCTATCTCTTCATTTCCACAATCACACAGATTCAAAAACTTTTTTTAAAAACTATGTCAAAACCCCATGTGGGCTTTGCTTGTTTTGCCCGTCGCATCGTGCTTCCCATAAACATCTCTAGTTTCAGTCTTCGTCTTCTTCATGGCTACTGTATTCTTAAGCAACGTATAAATGGCTGGTTTATATTTATTTGATTTTTTTTTGTTCTTGATTCAGTTGCAAATTGCAATCGATTCTTTGTTTTTAATTCTCTACTTGTTTGACCTTTCTTGGGATTGATTTCTGGGTTTCGATCGTTGAAAATATTGTATTTAACTTACAATTTAAGCAACCTTTACAATATGTTAAAATTTCCATGCCTGCATTCAATGTCTCTTATTTATGGATTTTTAAAGTTGATGATCCTATCTATATTTTGTATATTTTTTTTATTTATTAGGTTTATTAACTTTCAATTTTCTATTTAATTAATTTAATTCTTTTTCTTTTTTACAATAGGTGGGGTGGAAATTCTCAAGTTGGCATCTAATTAATTTAGTTCAGTAATAATAATTTGTGAGCACCATGTATGTGTTGTCTAAGAATTACATGTAAATTTAGCTTGTAAATTTCTTTTTTTTTTTTTAATATAAGGTAGCGTTAAACTCATGGAATTCATGATAAAGATTCTATTCAACATTATTTGAGGCACAATTAAAAAGCTCAAAAATTGATTTTATAATATATATATATAATCTCAAATATTTTATATGGCATCAAGCAATCTACAACCCATAAAGTTCGATAAACCAAATCTATAATTTAACCATATTTTTTGTTTGACATTTTAAGATCAAAATAAAAGGTAGCAAATTTTAACTTTATGCACCAAAATTATGGTGAGACAATTGAATTTTGAAGAAAATAAGTGATGCAACTTTTTAGAACTATTTTCTAAAAGTTAGGTAACAAATTGTCACTTTTTGAAACTTAGCGACCAAAT